GCCACTGCACTCCAGCCTGGGCGACAGAGCAAGACTCCGTCTCAAAAACAAACAAACAAACAAACAAACAAACAAAAAAAGGAAGTAGACAGTTAAATATGTATTCCGCAAATTGTAAAGCAACCACTAAAATAACAAAATGAAGAGTTATAGCTAATAAGCTTAAAAATGGGATAGGTGGAACCATAAAAAACAATTAGCTAGGTGTGATGACTCACGCTTGTAATTTCAGCACTTTGGGAGGCCAAGGCGGATGGATTATTTGAGGTCAGATGTTTAAGACCAGCCTGGCCAACATGGTGGAACCTCGTCTCTACTAAAAATACAAAAATTAGCCAGGCGTGGTAGTGCATGCCTCTAATCCCAGCTATTTGGGAGGCTGAGGTGGGAGGATCACTTGAACCTGGGAGGCAGAGGTTGCAGTGAGTCAAGATTGTACCACTGTACTCCAGCCTGGGTAAAAGTGAGACTGTGTCAAAAACAAAAAACAAAAAACAAAAAACAAAACACTGAATCCAAAAAAAGTCAGTAAAATAACAAAACGAGAACAACAAGCAAATAGGACAAATAGAAAACAAGGAGCAAAATGGTAAGTCTAAACCTAACCATATCAATAACCACATTAAGTGTAAATTTCGGCTGGGTACAGTGACATAGTTGTAATCCTAGCACTTTGGGAGTCTGAGGTGGGAGGATCACTGGAAGCCAGGAGTTTGAGACCAGCCTGGGCAACATGTTTTTCTGTTTTTATTATTTTCTGCTATCTGGACTGAATTCTAATCTTTCCTGGCTACAAGTCTCCAAAATAATGTTTTCATTTTTTTCTTTCTTTTCCTTTTCCCCCCATTTTTCCTAATTTGAAATCACTGAAAACTAAGCTGTGCTTTCTTAAAGGCCTGCAAACTGAAACTAGACAACTTAAACTTCGGAAGAAAATAACAGCATCCTTTGACATACATAAGCCACTTTTATACCTGCCTACTGATGTATGGACTTCAGAGTAAGGTGGCGTATATCAATTTTGCAGGATTGTTCTTTCGTTTGTTGTTGTTTCTCTTCCTTCTTCCTCCTATTTTCTCTTCATACGACATTAGACTTCACAACCTGCTAAAAATGAGCTTTCCTAATAACTTGGAACTTATCTGTCTAAGCTGTTCTGAGAGAACAGATGAAACCTGAGACCAGAGACTCATTTTCTTCCAAAAATGCTTTCTCCAAAAGATTTTAAAAACAAAAGGGGGGAAATGTAAAAGGGAAATAAATCTTATGACCCCAAAATCACTAAGCTAAAGGGAAAAGTCAAGCTGGGAACTACTTAGGGCAAACCTGCCTCCCACTCTATTCAAAGTCACGCCTCTGCTCACTGAGATAAATGCGTATCTGATTGCCTCCTTTGGAGAGGCTAGTCAGAAACTCAAAAGAATGCAACCATTTGTCTCTCACCTACCTGTGACCTGGAAGCCCCCTCCTTGCTTTGAGTTGTCCCGCCTTTTTGGGAGGAACTAATGTTTATCTTACATATACTGATTGATGTCTCATGTCTCTCTAAAATGTATAAAACCAAGCTGTGCCCTGATCGCCTTGGGCACATGTCAGGATCTCCTGAGGCTGTGTAATGGGTGCATGTCCTCAACCTTGGCAAAATAAACTTCCCAAAGTAACTGAGACCTGTCTCAGATATTTGGGATTCACAGTGTACAATATATTTTGACATGTGTGTAGATTGTGGACTGACCCATTTATATTACAAAATGTCCTTCTTTATCTCTAGTAACATCCTAGGGACACAGCATTATGCTGTTAGAAGCCATGCTAGTATTTCACTTAGATGCTCTGCATTATTTAGTGCAGAGGTTTGTACAAAGTTATTATGTGGGAAGTGTTCTGTAGTTCTCAACACACACACACATGCTCGCATTCTCACTTATTATCTTGGCTTGCCCTCTAAGCTACCATATCTGTATTCAAATTCTTTCTGTCCTTTGGGAATCCTATGGGTAAGTCTTAACCAGAGCAACATATAACCCTGAGGGCCAAATCCTGGCCCAGACCTCAAGCAGGAGCCCGCTGAGGAAAGATCTTGGCCACACAATGAACTTGTGGGCAGGATGCCCAGTACCCAGCCAGGATCATGGCTTTGCTCCTTCTATCTGCTGCCACACCCAGCTCTGTAGCTTCCCTGAGCCCAACTACAAAAATAATCTGCCACGTATGCAGGGGGTACACCAAGTGGCCTCCCAACTGAAGCTGAGGAAGGGGAATCTCCAGATCTACTTAGAGGAAAGGAGAAGTCCTCCAAAACGCCCACTGATAGTAAAGCCTATGAATAACCCATCCCTCCAGCATCCAGAACACCTACCCCAGGGCCTGGCCTGCATTGCTAGCCTCCCGATGTGCAGTTGTTGAGTACTGAGAAGCCACCAAGGACTCAGCCTCGTCTCCCTCAGCATTCTCTAAATGGTGGGATGATCTTCCTGTAATAACTTTGAATGCCAAAGTTTTAAAAAGCCATCCCCTTTTCCTTTTTTTCCCAAGTCATTCCAATCATGTCAAACAGAAAGTCTTTGTTTGATGCTACTAAGTCTTTAAGCCTAGCTGGAATTGATTAGCAGTAACAATTGTTTTGTCTTTGTTGTATTTGTCTTTATAGTTACCTTTTATTTGTGGCAAAGTATACTGGGTTTTCCATTTGTGATAGGGATGTAAACTTTTCATTTTATATACATTAATTTTGGTTAAAAGTAAGTCCTTTAAGGAAAGTAATTGCATATTTAAATAATAACGGTGTTGCAAAATTCATGAGGGTGGTGTTAACTGTGCTCAGAAATCAAAGGCAAGGCCCAGCTGGGTGCAGTGGCTCACGTCTGCAATCCTGGCACTTTGAGAGGCTGAGGTGGGAGGATCGCTTGAGGCCGGGAGTTTGAGAGCAGCTTGGGTAACACAGCGGGACTCCATCTCTATATTTATATTAAAAGAAAAAAAAAAGGAACACTCCTATACATGACATGGGCGAATAGTTCCCCCCAAGTAATCCTGGCCATGTATGCCCAAAGCCAAAGGGGCTTGCAGAGGAGGACATTTAAATTTGGGGCTCTACCAATGTTCCTCAGTTTGGGGGGGCTTGGGAGCAGGTGTTGGAGTGAGGGCACAGGAACAGCAGCCCGCTGTCTGTGACACCTGGGCTGGGTGACACCTGGGCCAGGCATGGGCCTGGCCAAGGATGCGGAGTGCAGCGCCGTGCTTCACCACTAGGTGGTGGACGCATGCTCCCAGTATGAGCGGGAGCAGCGTGGCCCCTTGCAGCCCAAGCAGCTGGAACAGGCTGGGACACGCCTGCCCTCTCGTGGCCCCCCGCCCTGGGGTCCCTGCACACCTGGGGCAGGGCTTGGCAAAGTCAGTCTCAGCCCCCTTCAAAACCAAATCTCAGAGCTGCTTGAGCCACAAGGAAATGAAAATAACCCCTAATGGAGATTCTTAACCTTACTTTGTACAAAGCCTGGTTAGGCTGTGGCGCTCCTCTCAGAATAATCTTTTGAAATTCATGAACTAGATAGGAATAAATAAAAAGATCTAGGAATTTGGAAAAACTGAGCACAAGTGACTTTTCCAGATCACTGTAATGACTGTAATATGACATGAACATACCTTCCATTTCTATTGGCACTGCTAATACCACTATGGTTTATTTGCTGCCTGCTTTATAATTGAAGAAAATCCCAAGTATCACTTAGAGGTGGGTGAGAATAACGATGTAATTATTTTCCTTTGCAAGTTCAGGGACCCCATAAACTCTATGGCCACAGTTAAGAAACCTTTAGTGTCTGGCAGTTTCCAGTCAGGGTGAAAAAAAAAAAGAAATAGAAAAAACAACAACAACGACAACAAAAAAAAATCTCTTCGTGAAAATCGAGGCAAGATGAAAGAAATTTAAACTGAGCACAACAGACTTCCCTGTCCATTTCCTGTTTTGCCCCAGCTTTAGTGCTCAGGGCCTCCTCAGTATCCACTCTCTGCCTTGACCGTCAGGACCTATGAGCAGTACAGGGCATGCATGATCCTAGGGTAAGTGGGGACTGGGAGGGGGCTGAGATATCATCCAGGCTCAATTGTTCAGCCTCCAGACACTGAGACAGAGAGGGGAGTCGGCACCTAGCATCTCCTAGTCATTCAGGTCAGAGCTAAAGATCCACACTCCATACCCATTTCCCCATTTCAGCCTGGGGGACAATTGGGAGGGGACAGGTAAGCCTCCCCAAGAAAGTGACACGAGCTGAGACTTGGAGGAGCCATGAAGATCTCAGGGGAAGAGCATTTCCCTCTTCCCCTGAGAAGAGGAGGCATGGTGGGAACCATTCACTCAGGTCACATGTAAAGGCCTTGCTTTTTTTCGTTTTATATAAATATAGAGATGAAGTCCTGCTAAGTTGCCCAGCCTGGTCTCAAACTCCCAGCCTCAAGCAATTCTCCCACATTAGCCTCTGACAGTACTGGGATTGCAGGTGTGAGCCACCATGCCCAGATGGACATTGCTTTTGGTTGGGAGCAAGCCCCCCAAAATCTGGCCATAAACTGACCCCAAGACTGGCTATAAACAAAATCTCTGCAGCATTGTAACATGTTCATAATGGCCCTAATGCCCGCACTGGAAGATTGTGGGTTTACAAGAATGAGGGCAAGGAAAACCTGGCCCACCAGGGTAGAAAACCGCTTAAAGGCATTCTTAAGCCACAAACAATAGCATAAGCGATCTGTGTCTTAAGGGCGTGTTCCTGCTGCAGTTAACTAGCCTGACCTATTCCTTTAATTCCGCCCATCCCTTTGTTTCCCATAAGGGATACTTTTAGTTAATTTAATACCTATAGAAACAATGTTAATGACTGGTTTGCTGTTAATATGTGGGTAAATCTCTGTTTTGGGCTCTCAGCTCTGAAGACTGTGAGACCCCTGACTTCCCACTTCACACCTCTATATTTCTGTGTGTGTGTCTTTAATTCCTCTAGCGCCACTGGGTTAGGGTCTCCCCGACTGAGCTGGTCTCAGCAAGTGACGTCCATCGTGGGGGCTCGAATCCAGGTCAAAGGGTCACCAGAGCAACAGTTGGAACAGAAAACTAGCTGGAGGACACCCGAGTACTCTTAAAGCAATCCCCGTGGTGAGTAAGAAGGGGAGCTTGGAAGCATCAGGGTAACAATGGGACAGGTATGGGGTCTGATTCGTTTCACCTTGGAACTTTTTCACACTGATAATGAGGAGGAACAAGAGTATAGCGAAGTAACAGAAGAGGTTACAGAGCATGTTTATTTACTAGCTAAAGCTAAAGTGGCAAAGGAAGGAGAAGTTCATCCCTACCCTTCTGCACCCCCTCCTTATTATTTTGAAGAAAATGACCCCCCAGATCTTTCTTTTCCAGAGGACAATGGGAGAAAAAGTAGTTGACCCAGTGACTGTTTGAGCAGCGCCTCAAGCAACCGCTCTTAGGTCTATTCAGGCAGGAATTCAGCAAGCTAGACAAGAGGGTGATATAGAGGCTTGGCTATACACTAATGTACCCTGCTAGAATACACTCCCCAGATCAACAGGGAAATATTACAGCTACTTTTGAGCCTTTTCCTTTTAAATTACTCAAAGAATTAAAACAAGCTATAAATGAGTATGGACCAAGTTCTCCTTTTGTAATGGGACTGTTAAAGAATGTTACTGTTTCCTGTTGGATGAGTCCTACTGACTGGGACGTTCTTACTCGAGCTTATCTAACTCCTGCTCAGTTCTTACAATTTAAAACTTGGTAGGCAGATGAAGCTGCCATTCGGGCTGCTCCCAATGCCCAGGCCCAACCTCAAATTAATATAACTGCAGACCAACTTTTGGGGGTTGGCGGCTGGGCTGGTTTAGATACACAAGTGGTCATGCAGGATGATGCCATACAACGGCTTAGAGGAGTGTGCATTAGAGCTTGGGAAAAAATCACTTCAGGTGGAGAACAATACCCTTCCTTTAGTGCTATAAAACAGGGACCAAGAGAACCATACATTAATTTTACAGCTCAGTTACAGAAGTCCCTTAAAAAGATGATTGCAGATTTGGCTGCTCAGGATATAGTGTTGCAGTTATTAGCTTTTGACAATGCTAATCCCGATTGCCAGGCCGCTCTGTGACCTATCAGAGGGAAAGCACATTTAGTTAATTATGTCAAGGCCTGTGATGGTATTGGAGGTAATCTGCATAAAGTTATTTTGTTGGCACAGGCAATGGCAGGACTGAGAGTGGATAACGGAAATACTCCATTTCCTGGAGCTTGTTTTAACTGTGGGAAGCATGGTCATACTAAAAAAGAATGTAGAAAAAATTAGCGAGTCAGACCACCAGATAGGGGAAAAGAGAAAACTGTTGAGCCTGAAATATGTCCAAAATGTAAAAAAGGAAAACATTGGGCTAGTCAGTGTCACTCTAAGTTTAATAAAGAAGGGAACCCAATTTCGGGAAATGCCATGAGGGGCCCATCCGGGCCCAATTCTAAACCGAGGCATTTCCAGCTCAGGCCATTCCCTCACCCCTGTACAATGTCTGTCCCCCGCCACAGCCGGCAGTGCCACAGTAGATTTATGCTGCACAAAGGCTGTGAGCCTTCTGCCTGGGGAACCCCTGCAAAAGGTCCCAACAGGAGTCTGTGGACCCTTCCCAGCAGGGACAATAGGATTACTTTTAGGAAGGTCTAGTGTAAGTTTAAAAGGCATACAAATACATACAGGAGTCATTGATTCAGATTATAATGGGGAAATTCAGATTGTTACATCTACTTCTGTTCCCTGGAAAGCAGAGCCAGGAGAGCGCATAGCACAGCTCCTGATTGTGCCGTATGTGAGAATGGGAAAAAGTGAAATTAAACGAACAGGAGGATTTGGAAGCACAAATAAACAAGGCAAAGCAGCTTATTGGGTAAATCAAATTACTGATAAACATCCTATCTGTTACATAACTATTCAATGAAAGAAATTTAAAGGTTTGGTAGATACAGGAGTGGACATTTCAATCATTTCTCTACAGCACTGGCCGTCCACGTGGCCAATTCAACCTGCTCAATTTAACATAGTTGGAGTTGGTAAAGCCTCTGAAGTATTTCAAAGTAGTTATATTTTGCATTGTAAAGGGCCCGATGGACAATCTGGGACTATTCAACCAATTATAACTTCTGTACCTATAAATTTATGGGGAAGAGATTTATTACAACAATGGGGAGCACAAGTTCTAATTCCAGAACAATTAGATAGCCCTCAAAGTCAACATACGATGCTTGAAATGGGGTATGTCCCTGGTATGGGACTAGAAAAAAGTTTGCGAGGTTTAAAAGAACCTCTTCAAGTGGAAAAACAAAGTTCCCGCCAAAGATTAAGAAATAATTTTTGATGGCGGCCATTGTTAAGCCTCCAGAACCTATACCTTTAAAAGGGTTCACAGATAAGCCAATTTGGATAGAACAATGGCCGCTAAGTAAAGAAAAACTGGAGACTTTAGAGAAATTAGTTACTGAACAATTAGAAAATGGGCACATAGCTCCAACATTTTCTCCTTGGAATTCTCCAGTTTTCATAATTAAGAAAAAATCAGGAAAATGGAGAATGTTAACTGACTTAAGAGCCATCAGCTCAGTTATACAACCTATGGGAGCAGTACAGCCAGGATTGTCTTCTCCTGCTACAATTCCAAAAAATTGGCCTTTAATAGTCATAGATTTAAAAGACTGTTTCTTTACTATCCCTTTAGCTGAGCAAGACTGTGAACAGTTTGCATTTACAATTCTTGCAGTAAACAACCTGCAGCCTGCTAAGCGTTTTCATTGTCTTACAGATCGTTCTAGTAAGGGTAAAGCTTCTTATTCTGGATGAAAAAGGAAAGTTTTCCGGATGTCCTATACTTCAGCTCAAAAAACGGAGCTTGAAGCTGTAATTGAGGTATTGACTGCTTTTGATATGCCTATTAATGTGATTTCTGATTCTTCATACGTGGTTCATTCCACACAGTTAAATGAAAATGCTCAGTTACAATTTTATACAGATGAACAACTGATGACTTTATTTACCCAATTGCAAACAGCAGTTAGGAGTAAAATGCATCCTTTTTACATCACTCACATTAGAGCTCATACACCTCTTCCAGGACCTTTGACTGAAGGGAATCAAATGGCCGATCACCTAGTTGCTAATGCAATATCTAATGCTAGACACTTTCACAATTTGACCCATGTTAATGCTTCTGTTCTCAAACGCAGATACAGCATTGCCTGGAAAGAAGCTAAAGCTATTATCCCGCGATGCCCAACTTGCCAAATGTTATGTTCCTCATCTTTTACAGGAGGAGTTAATCCTCGAGGACTGGAACCTAACTCTCTTTGGCAAATGGATGTCACACATATTCCCTCGTTTGGGAGACTAGCTTATGTACATGTATGTGTGGACACCTTGTCTCACTTTGTCTGGGCTACCTGCCAATCAGGAAAGTCTTCTGCCTATGTTAAATGTCATCTTTCGCAGTGTTTTGCGGTGATGGGCATTCCAGCTTCTGTTAAAACAGATAATGCCCCAGCTATACTAGCCAAGCTCTAGCTACATTTTTCTCTATGTGGAATATTAAACACATTAGTGGTATCCCATACAGTTCTCAAGGACAAGCCACAGTGGAAAGAATGAATCTCTCCCTAAAACAGCAGTTGCAAAAGCAGAAGGGAGACAGAGAATATAGAACCCCACAGATGCAACTGAACCCAGCATTATTAATTTAAAATTTTTTGAGCCTGCCCAAAGACCAGATGTTATCAGCAGCTGAACAGCATCTACAGAAACCAGCTGCAAAGACAGAAACAGAACAACTGATTTGATGGAGAGATCCAACAACAAAAAATTGGGAGATAGGTGAAATAATAATTTGGGGTAGAGGTTATGCTTGTATTTCTCCAGGCCAAAATCAACAGCCAATCTGGATACCATCAAGACATCTCAAACCTTATCACAAGCCAGATGCCAAGGGAGAGACTCCGGGAAGATCCCAAGGACCCCCCCGTTGCAGCCATGTCGAGACTAACACTGAGGAGGACCCCAACTGTCACGAGCAACACCCGTCGAACACAGTCACCCACCTGGGGACAGATCAAGAAGATGTCACAGATGGCAGAAGAAAACCTGAGGAAAGCGGGACAGCCAGTCACAATGAATAATGTAATGGTAGCTATGATAGCAGTTATCACCACTGCCATGAGTATTCCTTCAATAAGGGCTGGTAAGAGTGCCTGGATGCAATCACTCTATGACACAGTTACACATGCTTTCTGATCTCAGTATTTACCATAATAAATCTGCTCCTATAATTGAGGCATGCTGCCCTCAAAAACCTATTTGTAAACAGGATTGGACCCAGTTAGAAAAAATGAACATACTTGTTTAGGAAGATTGCTTTGCAGAACAGGCAGAGGTGCTGCGCAATGATTCCTATGGAATCATTATTAATTGGTCCCCTAAGAGGATGTTTAGCTTGAATTGCACCTCTCAGTCTGTGTGCCACGGTCACACTATGTTCAGATGATCTGAACAAAACGGTCAGATGGTAGAAATGATAAGAAGTACGGCAAAAGTTCCTATTTTCTGGAACCATGGCAGTATAGTGGCACCTCAATCTCAAATGATATGGCCCGCTCTAGGAGCTAAACATAAGGATTTGTGGAAACTATTAAATGCTCTTAATAAGATCAAATTTTGGAAAAGAATAAAAAAGCATCTAGAAGGACACTCTACAAACTTGTTTTTGGATATAGCAAAATTAAAAGAACAAATATTTAAAGCATCCCAGGCACACCTGACCTTAATGCCAGGAACTGGAGTGCCTAAAGAAGCTGCAGACAAATTAGCAACTAGTAACCCATTAAAATGGTTAGAACACTTGGAAGCTCTATGATTTCAATGATGATTGTGCTTTTAATCTATGTTGTTTGTCTTTGTATAGTCTGCAGATGTGGATCCTGACTCCTGTGAGAAGTAGCTCACCATGACAAAGCTGCCCTTGCTTTTATCGATTTGCAAATCAGAGAAGGGAGACATGTTGGGAGCAGCACCCCCCCCAAAATCTGGCCATAAACTGGCCCCAAGACTGGCCATGAACTAAATCTCTGCAGCACTGTAACATGTTCATAATGGCCCTAACGCCCACGCTGGAAGTTCGTGGGTTTATGGGAATGAGGGCAAGGAACACCTGGCCCGCCCAGGGTGGAAAACCACTTAAAGGCATTCTTAAGCCACAAATAATAGCATGAGCGATCTGTGCCTTAAGGGCATGTTCCTGCTACAGTTAACTAGCCCAATCTATTCCTTTAATTCGGCCTATCCCTTCGTTTCTCATAAGGGATACTTTTAGTTAATTTAATATCTATAGAAACAATGCTAATGACTGGTTTGCTGTTAATAAATATGTGGGTAAATCTCTCTTTGGGGTTCTCAGCTCTGAAGGCTGTGAGACCTCTGATTTCCCACTTCACACCTCTGTATTTCTGTGTGTGTGTCTTTAATTCCTCTAGCGCTGCAGGGTTAGGATCTCCCCGACTGAGCTGGTCTCAGCAGTTTTTGATTTCTGAGCACAGTCAACACCACCCTCATGAATTTTGCCACCCTATTATTTTTATTTATCATCATTATTTTATTTGAAACCAAATTTCACTCTGTTGCCCAGGCTGGAGTGCAATAGTGTGATCTCAGCTCACTGCAACCTCCGCCTCCTACGTTCAAGTGATTCTCATGCCTCAGCCTCCCGAGTAGCTGGGATTATAGGCGCCCACCACCACGCCTGGCTAATTTTTGCATTTTTAGTAGAGACGGGGTTTCACCATGTTGGCCAGGCTAGTCTCGAACTCCTGACCCCAGGTGATCCACCTGCCTTGGCCTCCCAAGGTGCTGGGATTACAGGCTAGAGCCACTGCGCCTGGCCCCATTATTATTTAAATATGCAATAACTTTAAGAAGAGGAAACAGCTGGTGCAGCAGCCCTGGTGGATAGGCCTGGCATGCTTCCAGAAGGAAGCCATGTAGCTGAGGCGGAGTGAAGGGTAAATGAGGTCAGAGAGGTGGCCGGAGACCCAATCTGGAAAATCATCCTCTTATAAGAACTTCGGCTTTTATGCTGTGTGAAACGTGGACCTGGCATAGAGTTACTAGTGTTTGAATGTGTCTCCCAAAAGTCCATGTGTTAGAAACTGTGCCCTCATGAATGGGTTCATGAATTAATGAAGATTCTGCCCTCATGAATGGATTCATGTTGTCACTGTCAGGGGACTGGGTAATCATGAGAATGCCTTTGTTACCAAAGTGAGCTCTCTCTTGCACATGCTTTGTTTTGCCCTCTTGCCATGCGATGCCCTCTGCCATGTTAGGATGAAAGTAAAAGGCTCTCACCAGATGCTGGCACCACATCCTTGGAATTCCTAGCCTCCAGAATTGTTAGCTAAATACACTTCTTTTGTTTATAGATTACCCACTCTGTGTTATTCTGTTACAGCAACAGAAAATAGACTAAAAGAGGGTTTTGAGCAGAGAGGAACGAAATCTGATTTAGTTTTAATCAAGGTGATCACATGTTCTGGTTTGCCAGGGCCAGTACTGGCTTACTCCTGTTATCCATTGTAATTATCAATAGCATTTCTTTTTGCTCTCAAAGAAGGGGTCAATTATGGTTGCTTTAACAGTATGGCCTGGCTGCTGTGCTGAGAATGGACTGAAGGGGGCAAAGATGGAAAGAGGGAGACTAGTCAGGATGCCATGGCAAATGATTCAGGCAAGAGACAACAGCAGCTTTGACCAGGGTGGCCACAGTGGAAGTGGTGAGAAATGGAGAGAGTGCCCGAATTTAGCTTTTGAGATGTGAATTCAAGACATCGATTAGACTTTGAAGTCGTAGCCATTGGCAGATGCTGATTGTCCATGGTGAGCCCTGGTTCCTGTGCTCTGTCCCTTCTGCCTGTTACTGCCTGGCCCCCACAATTGTTGAGGAGGCAGTTGGATGTAGGGGAGAAATGATGCTTCAATCTGGAGATGATGGGGACAGCCCTGGCTGTCCTACCTAGAGCCTGGACCAGAGACTCTCATGTCTAATAGTGACCCAGCTCCAGGGAGCTGTACTCCCCCAGCATTTTCCTGTCCCAAGCAGAAGCCCAGGGTTTAGAGCAAAGAGTATGTGGGGCAAGTTGTGTTCATAGTTCAATATGCAAATGTTCTCTATTGCCTTTTGCTGGGATTTCACATACCCTATATCTAGGATCAGCTACGTAATTTGCAGTTACATAATTCCAGTGCAAAATGAAATTGCAGGACCCTTTCTTCAAAAATGATTAAGAATTTCAAGATGGGGACAGCAGAGCATTAAATCAAGCACAGGGACCTATGTGATTGACACAGGTCACACATCCACAAACTCAGCCCTGCCTATAACTGAAAGATGTTTCATCATCACTTCTGGAGCTTAGGAGTGAAGCTCCTGCCGTCTGTGAGAAAGAAGAGGACATAATCCTGGATTAACAGAACCCTAAATGACAATTTCCCCTTCTGCCACCTGAATTGGAAATATTTACTTGTCTGGTGGACACCCTGATGAAAGTGGGTGTTACAATGAGAGGCTGCCAGAGCCTTCCAGGTGATCTTGAAATCTGGGTCAAGCAGGATTCCCGGATAGGGTGCCTGCAGAAACCCTGGGGCAATGCATGAGGAAACCGCTGGAAGGAAAGTTCTTTGTGGCAACCCAGGGACAAATCAAGAGAAGTAACTGGGTGGTGTGCCAGGGAGTAGTGTTGCAGCAAACGAAGAAAGTGCCAGCAGCCCCCGCACTGAGCTAACCTAGTCTGATATGGTGACCATAAGTCCTGTGAGGCCTGAGGGTGGGAGGAGATGAACAGTGACACAGGTGTGCAGAAATGAGGACAAGACAGGGTCTTGCCACAGGTGAAGGGGTGGGGTTGAACGGATGCTGCCTAGGAAGGGGCTGGAGGGACAAGATGAGTTTGCGGGTCTTGTAGAGGATTTGATGTTGAAAAAAACTCTTAAGAGATAATAATCCTAAGAGATAGTAATCTTAAGAGATAGTAATCCTTTCAGATGCCTCCCACAGTCCACATGGGACTTCTCTCTCCCAGCCAGTCAAGTCTAGACTGACCCTCTCCATTTTTTGCTTATGATCTTTGCCCTCGCCTCTCCCATTTGATCTGAAGTCCTCCAGAAGCCATCCATGGCCCCACTGAGCCCCAGGAAGCTTTGAAATGTTTAGTAAGCATATCAATCATGGTTCATTCAGGAAAACAGCAACCACAATATTTATCTTAACAGAGAGAATGTAATAGAGAGAATTAACAAATACTGGAGGAAAGGACAAAAAACAGACATTGGAACTTCAGGAAGTAACTCCCACCCCAAGGACCAGGAGAACAAGAGGGAGAGGTGGACTTATTAGAACCTAGGAATAGATAGGGGAGTCTGGGGAAACCGCAGCTCAGGCTTCCGAGGAGACGGCACTGCCAGGCGGGTGCTGGTGCCTTGGAAGGTGGATGGATGGTCCTGAGAGCCAGGACCCAGATCCCTATGGAGTGGGCACTGCCTGGCTGCTGCTGCTGTCTCTGACGGGGGTGATGAAGCTGGCTTGGGGAGCATACAAAGTGTCACTCTGAGGGCCAGGCATGATGGCTCATGCCTCTAATCCCAGCACTGTTGGAGGCTGAGGCAGGTGGGTCGCTTGAGTCCAGGAGTTCAAGACCAGCCTGGCCAACTTGGCAGAACCCTGTCTCTACGAAAAAGCAAAAACAAAAATTAGCCAGGCGCGGTAGATTGGGCCTGTGATCCCAGCTACTTGGGAGGCTGAGGTGGGAGGATCGCTTGAGTCCGGGAGGTGGCTATAACCGATATAGCACCACTACACTCCAGCCTGGGCAACAGAGCCAGACCCTGTCTCAAAAAAAAAAAAAAAAAAAGTGTCACTCTCAGGGTAAAGAACAGGTGCTGTGGTGATGCTGGCAGGAATGGAGAGCAGAACGAGATGAAGCTGCTCCCTTCTTCCTTCTTCCAGCATTTCAGTCTCCCTTTAGCACCACTTAGTGGTGCTTGGACTCTGCCAAGAACCCAAGATGGAGCCAGCTGGCAGGGCAGAAATGTGGATTCCAGAGTCCCTTCATCTTGATCTGAATGTGCCCCATGCCCCTAGCTGAATGCACATCCTCTTGTCCTCTCTGATAGCCAGGGCCACACAGCCACTGGCTCCCTGTCCCCCACCCCCAAGAACTCCAAGCATTACTGCCTTTCCTGCTTCCAGAAGTAGCACACCCAAGAAATTCAAGCGAGAGCCCCTATCTCTAACAGACCCCGCTCTGCCCCTACTGTGGAGCAGTGAGAGTTTTTCTATTCCTCCACCTGTTCCTTCTAAACCAAAGAAGTTCATGGTCTTGTTGAAAAGCCCATTTCCCTAAGAAACTTCCTCTACTCTATATACACACATTGGTCCTGACTTCATAGTCTAGCAATCTCAAGATGAAGTTTCCCCTTCATCTTTTTAAAATTAATACATAATAATCATATTTATGAGGTACATAGTGATGTTTCAAACATATAATATGTAGTGATCAGATTATGATAATTCCATATTTCACATATCCATCATCTCAAGCATTTATCATTTATTTGTGTTGGGAATATTCAATATCCTCCTGGCTATTTGAAACTACATATTCTTGTTAACTATAGTCATCTTACAGTGGTATATTCAGAAAACTGATGAACTTTCCCTCCTATCTAGCTGTAATTTTGTATCCTTTAACAAAGGTCTCCTTTTGCCACCCTTTCCCCACGCTTCCCAGCCTCTAGTATCCTCTGTTTTACTTTCGACTTCCATGAGATCAACATTTTTTTAGCTTCCACATGAGTGAGAAAATGCAGTGTTTAACTTTCTGTCCCTGGCTTGTTTCACTTAACGTAATGTCCTCCAGTTCCATCCATGTTGCCATGAATGACAAGATTTCATTCTTTTTATGGCTGAATAACATTTCATTGCGTATATACCACATTTTCTTTATCCATTAATCTGTTGATGGACACCTAGGTTGATTTCATATCTTGGCTATTGTGAATAGTCTTGCAATAAACATGGGGATGTAGATCTTCACAATAGACTGATTTCCTTCCTTCTGGATAAATGTCCAGTAGTGGGATTGCTGGATCTTATGGTAGCTCTACTTATGGTTTTTTGAGGAACCTCCATACTGGTCTCCATACTGGCTT